GACCTACAATTAGCGGTTTGACCCCTGTCTATCCCGACCGAGAGGAACCACTGGGTTCCTTTATTAGCCCTGGCACTCTCCTCCCTGCCCAACCCTTTGTGGCCTCCTGTGACCGCCAACAGGAACCGAGTGCCCTGGTTCATCCTCCTACCCACCACCTATTTCCCTGTCTAAACTACCCCTCTCAGCCTCTTAGCCATGGCCCATAAATCAGACCGCGGGTCCGATGCACTCCAGCCAACTGATTATTCACTGCCCAGGTCTTCAGGAACCACCATCTAGCAGCACGACAGGCTTTACCTTTCCTGGCTTTCCTCCGCCAGTCCACTGCTATCGCTTCCCTCAAGCCCTTCTTTACTGCTCCCTTGATCTCTCTGTCTGAGAATGGTCTCTTCTCGAATTTCGAGCGATTGCGGTCCGCCCAGATTACCGAGCAGATTACTGCCCTTGCCACTTGGGCTACGTACAGCCACCCCCTCTGGCCTGTGGTTCCTTCCGGGACAAATCCCAGTAGAACCCACTTCTCGTTCCATACAATTCCACTTCCTCCCATCAGGTGCCAATGAATCTCCCACCAACGCCAAATACGTTTCGACGCTGGGCACTCCCACCACAAGTGCCGTGTCGACTCAAACGGCCAAGTGCAGCGGGTGCAGCCCAGGCTTACCTCTACTCCCCTTCCACAGAGCCACACTGCCGAAGGGGTGACCAGCAGTGAGAGCATCCATAAAATGCCTGCTTGCTTCACATTGGGTAGGTCTCCCAGTACATTCCACCGCTTCTCAAAGTCCTTGCCTGCTCCTTGAAGGTCTTCCATCAGGACCGACTCCCAACGTGCAATCGCTACTGAAGCCGGAGTTCTTTGCTGTTTCGTTGCTAGACCATAGGATTCCGTTGGTGTACAAGTCACTAGATTAAGCCCTTGTGGATGCGATCTTGATCCGACGGGCCTAGTTCAGTTGGTACACCAATGAACTGTTGAAACACAGACCCAAGTTCGAATCCTGATGGACAGAATAAAAAATAATCCTGAATTACCTGTGGCCGGTCAGTTCAATGATGGTATCTCAAGGCCGTCGCCCATTCAGCGGGGGGGACCACACGTCCTCACACGTCGTTTGCATGGCAGATGTCTTACACGAAAAGTTATTTTGCCACACAAACCATATCTCTATCGTATGCCGCTGCTACCGTCTTCACCCGATAGAACGCCAGGGGCCAAGTCCCACTAGCAGCGTTGAGCTACCTCAACGCCTGAATCTGGACGTGTTTGTGGAGACGTGCAGTTCAGGAAACTCAACACCATTTCTGCACATCTCCGCAAAAGCGTCCACATTCAGGCGTTGAGGTAGCTCAACGCTGCTCGTGGACTTGGTCCCCGGTCAGTATAAGTGAAGAGGGGTTGACCGCTCACCCGCAGAAAGAGAACAAGGAGAATTTTGTTTGAGCGGCTGAATGTGGATGAGTTTTACGCAAATACAGAAAAGCAAAAAAAATCGCGATCTTTTGCACCTCTGCACAGCCACGTCCAGATTCAGGCACTAAATCCAATCCCTCTTTGCTAGTGGGACATTGCCACAGAGGGAAGAAGGATTGTAACAACTGCCAAGTACTAAGGCACGGTGACCCCGTTTTCCAACTTTGATCTGGTCTATTTTTTATAGGGGTAACTTCAGTAGAGTCACAAAAACGAGTTATAATTGCACTATGGGGCAAGATACAGTTTGCAATTGCACTTCGGGCACCCTACCTGGCCAGAAAGCTGGGTTGTATGCATTGTCTGAATTGCAAACGAAACTGTATCTTGGCCCATACTGCAATTATAACTCGTTCATGTGACTATATATACATATTTTTTGTTCCCTTTGTTTTTTTCGTTTTTGCGCTCTGATAACTTTGTAACGATATATATCTATCGTCAAACAGAGCTGCCCGGTAAACCGTAGGCAGAGACGGAGAAGAAGACAACAAACGAGGGGCTGTGACAAACTGTTTCGTCAGGGTTTCAGACATTTATATATATTGTCACATGACATATAAGGGCCACGGCCTTAGGATATCATCGTGGAACTGACTAGCCCCAAGTAATTCAGAAATTCATTCAGCTGGTTCCATCTGGATTCCAACTCCTCATGTCTCTATTTCAACAGTTCATGGGCGTACCAACTGAGCTAGGCCCGTTTAGCTGGTCTATTTACTGCGGGACGCTGGAGCCTTTTTCCAGCAGCCCATCAGCGGAAAAGGAGTCATCAAGGCAAAGCTTCAGGGCCTAGTTGGACCACTCGCCATCCGGCAACCATCATTTGAGCGCATCAGGACAAGCCCGGTGTTCAGATTCATTGAAAATTATGGCGGACGGTGAGTGGTGCAAGTAGGAATCAGGAATGGCAAGGCTGCTAGGGGATGTTACTTCAAAAAAAAAAAAAAAAAAGGTGACTAGCCCGGTATCATGCACCTGGCCTTACCGCATCGTGAAGACGTCCATGTACGCCCTCTGGCAGGGACGAGGAAGGGAGGGGAGGAGGAGGGGGGGCGGGGGAGGAGGGGGGGTGCTATGGGGCGCGATTGATTGCTCGATTGATTCGGTTGATTGATTGATTGGTGGACTGGTTGATCTATTGATTGAACGCTTGGATGATTGGTCGATTGATTGATTGATCGGTTTTGGTTGACCACTTGATTCATCGTCTGATTGACTGATTAATCGACTAATTGAGGGGCTGTGAAATGACTGTTTGGTTGGAGTTTCACCCACCGACTCGTCAGGAGGCTGAACCCTCTACAGTCTGCAGAGTGCCCTAACACATAGATGATACTAAAAGTTATAATCCGCCTTAGTCATGATTAAGCATCAAAAATTGTCCAACAACTGATGCCTGCAAGAATCGGTGGAGGTCAAACGAGAGTCTGTCACAAAACCCGAGTCTCGTGCCGCCGACAGCTCTCACAGCGGTTCTTTGTCATATTTTCGTACATATGTACCAATATCTGATATACTCTCTTGTATCCTTTTGTATCTTCATAAATTGTCATATACATATACATATAAATAATAAATATAAAACGTGCACAGTCACAGAGATCTGCCCGGACCATATCTGTACATATATATTGTCACAAGAATATCAGAGCGCAAAAGCAAAAAAAAGAAAAAAAGAAAGGAAAAAAGAAAAAAATGAAATTCTTTTCTTTTTTTTTTTTGTCGGTGAAACTGCCCGGTAAATCGTCGGCAGAGAGGGAGAAGAGGACAAAAAACGAGGGCCTGTGACAAACTGTTTCGACGGAGTTTCACAGACTCATCAGGAGGCTGAACCCTCAACAGTCTGCAGAATCCCCTAACTGATTACACTGCAAGTGATAATCCACTTAACCCCGGCTGTGGTTAAGCATCAACGACCGCCCGACAACTGATACTCTCTGAGGAGGTGGGCACCAACCACTGCGCTCAAGGTACCTGTGACGAAAATCTAAGCAGACTATCACTGGCCCACACCAGATGGAAAACTCTACAGACTGTCGGTTCACACCCCATCACAAGCGAGCAAAAGACCCACGAAACAAAGAAAGGTCTGTCACAGCCAAAACATACACTCCAGACACGCCGCTGGCACTGGAGGCACAGCATGGCCGCGTAGTGACGGCCCCGACCACTGCCGCTCGACCTGACCGGACAAAAACGTAGCAGAGTGCTCGCGAAGTCGTGGTATATATCGTCAGACAGAGCTGCCCGGTAAACCGTGGGCAGAGAGGGAGAAGAGGACAACAAACGAGGGGCTGTGACAAACTGTAGCTATGTCACAAAATATATATATAGGGTTCAGCCTCCTGATGAGTCGGTGAAACTTCGACGAAATAGTCTGTCACAGCCCCTCGTTTGTTGTCCTCTTCTCCCTCTCTGCCTACTGTTTACCGGGCAGCTCTGTCTGACGATATATATTGTCAGCTATGTCACAAAATATATATATATAGGGTTCAGCCTCCTGATGAGTCGGTGAAACTCCGACGAAATAGTCTGTCACAGCTCCTCGTTTGTTATCCTCTTCTCCCTCTCTGCCTACTGTTTACCGGGCAGCTCTGTCTGACGATATATATTGTCACAGAACTATTGACTAAGAGAGTAAGCACGTGAAGTAGAAGAAGAAATAAGATGAGCGAAGAAAAGAAAAATGAAAGGACAGACAGGCAAAGAGACAGACAAACCAGAATGACACAAAACAGTGTCCTCTTATTCTTTGTTTCACAGTATTATTATTTCTTTCAGTGTTTTACAAAAAAAAAAAAAAAAAAACTGAATCAAAGGATAAAAATCAAAACCAAAGACACACTGAAATCATTCAGTTTCTCAGTCTTCTTAACGCCTCCTCCACTATGCCTCTAACGTACAACGCTCGCCACATTGATGAAGTTGAGCGCGAGCTGCCCCCATCCCCGTATGCCATAACAGCCCACTTGCACGCTATGGGAAAGAGGCAGAGTGAAGGAAGAGGTGTTAAACACAAGGAAGAGAGGAGCAGAAAAGGAAAACCGATAGGCAGAGGGTGACCCAAACATCTTCTTTCTTTCACTGCATTCTTCTTTCTTTCACAGTTTTGCAGTTTTGGTGAAGAGTCTACCACGTTCGCTTTTCAGCACACCTGCACTTCCTTCTTCATTTTTCATCTTCATTTTCACCCTTCGGACTTTTCTTTTGAGGGTGTTAAGGTGCAGGGTACAAACAAAGTAAGATTACACAAACTTATGTTCTTCTTTTACTGCATTCTTCACAGTTTTGCAGTTTTAGTGAAGGGGTCCTCACCTTTGCACATTCTTGTACACTCTTTTCAGCGCACCTGCACATTTTTGTCAGGGTGCAGGTCTAAGTAAGACCTTCACGACAGATAGGACAACTGTCATAAGGATGCGGGCGATGGTAGCAGCCCTCCGCTGATCTACAGGACGAAAACCATTCAGGTAAGCAACTTCGTCACAGCAGGAGCCAGGGCGGCTAGCATTAACCATACCTCTGAAGCATGCACGACAGAGGGCATGCCGGTTGCAGGCCATGACGATTGCGGGGCGTTCACCATCACAGTTAAGTGCACATTCACTATAGCGCCCGCAGGCACAGATGGGACATACTGCATCTGGATGTAGAGGATGTTCACAATCCGGATACAGGTGGCATCCCTGCCGACAGCGGGCCCGAAAAATTATACGGTTATAGTGATGTCGACAAAGTCGATGCTTTCCACAACCAAGTGTAACTGTGTCAGTGATCTCACAAAGAAGGAGGTCACAAGGTGTTAGTGCAGCATGTGCGGGAGTGTATGTGACAATTATATATAAATTCGCAGAGAATTGCCCAGCCAAGTGAAGCCACGATGGCGCGATCTTTTTTCCCTCATGCCGTAATTTTCCTTTGTTTTTTTTTCCTCAGAATTTTCTTTGGTTTCGACCTTTTTTTCTGTTTTACTTCTTTTCGTCCTTGTCCTAGGATGCAACGTTCCCAAACGTTTGTCTGGAACGATACAAAGAAAGAGAAGATTAGCATGGCTCCTGCGCTTTCAAGGATGACACTCATAAATCGAGAAATGGTCCACAAAAAAAAAAAAAAAAAAAAAATTGGAACGATACACAGGACATCCGTTTAATCCGGACTGATGCTCCCCAGAATGGAAAAGGAGCCAGAACCGTAAGTTTCTGTTTAAAAAAAAAAAAAAAAAAAAAGGACATCCGTTTAATACTGGAACCTGCGCGCAACCGAGGACGACCCGTGTGCACAAGAATCCGGAAATGGTCCTTGAAAAACTATTCATTTGATAAAACAAAAAGCTAAAAACGTTTCCCACGGTTATATGCGTTGAGCGCGACCGGTCATTGTGTTTTTTCTTTTCTTTTTTTATTTATTTTGAACCAGAATCTTTGTATTGCCAAGTTGAAATGAGAGGCCGGGAATTCCTCCACAAACCGGGAACCATTACCCAGATTCGGTGTAGGCGTTGGGAAGTAAACCAGAGACGGAGATGGCCAATATCCAGACCGCTGTCCTGATATCCCACACACCGGTCATTGTAATCGTAGCAGCCATTAGAATATAAACCTTTTTTTTTAATTAACATAAATACTATTATTTACTATCATTATTGTAACAACTCCCATGAGGGAGATCGTCTACCGGTAGCCGGTGGTGTAGCCGAGAAGGAGGTCCAACACACCAGTCAGCTTAGCCGATTGGTTGACCGCGCAACTACCATGAGGGAGGTCGCGTGTTCGATTCTTGAGATCGGATCATGGACGAAAAATGCAATAATTGTAATAATAATCGTATTATAATCACTGATAATACCATAATACCAATTCTTGAGATCGGATACTTAGCCGTAATCGTTACAAGGCATTAAAAAAAAAAAACAAATGTTACAAGGCATTTCAATCTAACATTGGCGACAGCAAACTAAATATTTTGTTGTGTTTTTTTTCGCCTTTGCGCTCCTTCCTTACTTCTTTCCTTTTTGTTTTGTCTTTTTACGCCTTCGCGCTCCGATACACGATGTGACGATATATATATCGTCACATCGTGTATCGAAGCGCGAAGGCGAAAAGAAACAAAAAAATATATCAATTCATTTTTATCTTCTTACTTACAACTTCCTATATATGGGATTAGAATATATGTAACCTTGCCGAGCGGCAAACAGTAACTTAAATTAAGAGGCAAAAAAGAAACTTGGCATAAGGGAGGGAATACTGGATCGCGTGGCCATATCAATCCAGGCAGCTGCCGGTGCAACAGCAATCATCACCGCGGGGGCCGCCAGGACCATAAACTGAGAACAGGCCTGACAAATAGTTTGGCGATTCCCCGCGCTGACAAGAGAGAGAGAGAGAGAGAGAGGTACTGGAGTGTGAGCTGAGCGTACACACATTAGGATTGTAACGTTCAAACGGGTGCACTAATATCCAAATGCGATAAAATCGCGTGTATCTTCAGCCAGAAGTTGGCAAGATACAAACAATCAGCACCGTATTTTGTCTCCATACAGATTTGGCGAGTGGTGGAGCTTGGCGCAACCAACTTCCGCATGTTATGTTATGTGAGAGAGAGAGAGAGAGGGAGAGAGGGAGAGAGAGAGAGAGAGAGAGAGAAAGAGAGAAAGAGAGAAAGAGCGCCAGAGAGAAAAAGAGAGCAAGAGCGAGAGCGAGAGAGAGAGAGAGAGAGTGAGAAAGAGAAAGAGAAAGAGAAAAACACAGAAAAAGAGAGAGACAGAAAGAGAGAGAAAGAGAGAGAAAGAGAGAGAACGAGAGAGAAAGAGAGAGAGAGAGAGAGAGAAAGGAAGAAAGGGAAAGAGAAAGAGAAAGGGGGAGAAAGGGAGAGGTCGACAAATTAATGATGGAAGAGAGAGAGAGACTGTGGCCAGAAACTCCACACGGGGAAACCCATAAAATTGTACCCTGGAGATTGGTCAGGAAAGCTGAAGAGAACCAAAATAAGTTCAGGCAAAGGGGAAGGGAGAGAGGGGAAGCAAAACGGGGAGGGGTTTGGAAGGGGGGAGGCGGAAAGAAAGGGGGACAGGAATATTGGAGAGGACGAAAATTGGGCGAAGAGAGGAGAAAGGAGAACCCATTACCCCTTTCGTCCCTTCAACCGCTGTCCCGATCGGACTTGGGTTTTAACTCTCTCTCTCTCTCTCTCTCTCTCTCTCTCTCTCTCCCGCCCACACCCGCATAGAGTGCGAGTTCATCACATCAGTATCTAGCCAAGAGATTCAAACCATCAATAAATGCGCTCAAAATGACTAATTGCTTCTACCATCTTCCCCCGAATAGAACCCATGGTCATTATAGCTGTATTTGGCTCAACTTGCAGTCTAGATACAGCGGTAACGACTGCGCGTTCTCTTCCGGGAAGACGATACTCGGGGAATTACCACAAGGGTAAGTCGGTAAATATAGACTCCACTAACCAATCGGAGAAAAGCAGCAGCTCCTATGTACAAATTGGTTATCGCATATTTAATTGGTTTTTCCATTCGATGAAATTGTTTCTTTCATATACTAAATTGTTTTTTTTCATGTATACTGCTGCTGCTATTGCGATCATACATGAAGAGCCTTCATATACGCAGCTGCTGCTATGATGACCGCGCGTTCTATCGGGGGGAGCTAGTGGGTTCTATTCGGATATTACATCGGTTCTATTAACATACCCTGCTGCTTGCTCCTATGGCGATCGCTTCCTCTACCGGTAGGCTCTCCAGGCTCTTACCAACCTACCTACCTACCTACCTGTACTCATCACATGCATGTCTTTCCCTGCCCACCTTCTCTTGTGCATCTGGTTCTCGTTCGGCGGCGCATCTCCTAATCCTCTCCTCATCTTATCCGGTTGCTGCATCCACAATTAGAGACCTTTCTCTCCTCCCCACATCAGCATCCATCGTGACTAGCAAAGTTGGCCACAACCTCCCTCTCTCTCTCTCTCTCTCTCTCTCTCTCTCTCTCTCTCTCTCTCTCTCTCTCTCCCCCACGACTCGCCCTCCCGCCCTGTCTGGCTTTCCCTCGCTCCAAACTCTTCTCTCTGCATGGGCTAGCAACGGCTTGCACTCTTCCCGATTTCGGAGAGAGCAGCTGTACTTACTGGATTGAAGTGATAGGAGGCCACGAAGGGAGGAAGGCAGCTCTCCACCATTGAGATATTCTTGACCACGAGGTAAAGTGATACTTGACCAACCCCCCCCGCCCCCGCGGAGGGGGGGGGAAGGGGGGAGGGGGGGAGGGGGGCAGGGGAGGGGAGGGAAGGGAGGGAGGATTCAGAGGGGGCTTGATGAGAGATGATGAGACGGAAGGGATGAACTCTCAGTTACAGGTAACTGCTGAGGATTCGAACTCGGGGGGGGCAATCCTCAACAAACCATCCTTTATGCGCAAAGATGGCGAGACAACAGAAATGGATTCCCAAGGGAAAGGCCGGGCAATCAGTGGTACGAAGGATGAGGGAGCCGCTTAGGGAGGGAGAGAGACGAGGACAGAAAGCAAGAGAGGGAGGAAGAGAGGGAAGAATAAAAGGATGAAGAAAGGGAGCAAGAGGGGTAGGAAGATAGGAAAAAGAAAAGGGAGGAAGGAAGGGAAGAAGAAAAAGGGGAGGAAGGAAGGGAGGAAGAGGAAGAAAGGGAGCACGAGAGGTAGGAAGCTAGGAAGAAGAAAAGGGAGGAAGGAAAAGGGATGGAAGGGAGGAAGAGGGACGAAGAGAGAGAGAAAGAGAGAGGAAGAGAGGAGGAGAGAGGAAGAGAG